AGTATTTTTACGAGACCTTCTTTATTCCCTGAGGAGGGTTAAAAGGGTAAAAATAATGGTTAAAAAGACAATTGTAAGTACTAATCAGAATAAGCAGACTTATGTAACAGGTATTTAATTTTGGGCAGAAACACTTGAGATGTTTGACTCATTCAATGCATTGTTTTAATTGATAAACTAAAATAAAAGTTTGGGGTAAGCAGAATTACTAGGCCCTCTGAAACAGTGTATTGTTACGCACAATGACAGTACTCTCTAGTACAAAGTGCTCTCTGAAGAGACAGATTACAGCATGATGTCAGTTGTCAAATCCACTCTGGTAGGGTGGTCAAGATATGACCCTCCTACTGAGGGTAAAAGTAGGAGGTCAAGATATGACCCTCCAAAGGCCCCCAGTCCCTGAGGAAAGCTTCTTCAGCCATTTAAAGCTAAATTAATCACCATATATTTATATTGTAGTGCAGATACTAGGGGTGAAAGAAAATATCGGTGAACTGAAATATCACGATATTTCATTTTCAATAGTGTATTGAATCGATTCTCTGAAGCCCTGTGTTGATTTTTAATTAAGGTTTAAAATGTAGACTTTCACGCCAATGGTTCATTTTTTGTGTTGTAGTTTAGACTCTGACCAKTAGTTGGCAGCAATCAGCTGGCCATTTGGCTCCTCCACTTCTGAGGAGCCGGAGAGTATAACGGTAGCTTAAATATTCGCATTGTGAGTTAATGTTAGCACTGTACCGTTGGATGAATCTGAGCAGATTAGACGGCCACCCGCTGCATCCTAAACTGAGGAAAGGTTCCCTACAGTCCCTTATCAGCCAGCATTTCTGTAATTTAAGCCAAATTGAAGTGTCCCATACAGGATGCGCTTACTCCCGACTGAAGTCAGTCATCACAATACGGAAGGCAGGCAGGCATTTGTCTAGTGCCCTGAGCTCAAGGGGTCCTTGAAGGATAGTATACTGAAGTAGTCAAATGTAACAACCATATGAAACACAGTACATTGAAATAATTGGTGTAGTTGTGCTTCCCTGTGCTTGTCCCATGCTGACAACACAGACTGTGTGCAGCAGCTTAATGTCATCCATTTACTGAACTTTAGGACAAGATATAGGCCATTGTTAGTGTGTTGGGTGATCATATTTTTATAATAATTTAATATTAAAACCTAAAAGCTGCCACAAATATATTACAAAACTATTTATTGACACATTTGACTTAACCATTGAAAACATGGATGAAATAGGAAATATGAAACAAATAAAATATGTATAAAACATAATGATTTTTTAATAGAATTTTTGGACAAAAAAATGGCAATATGTCGCAATATCGCCTTGCTTACATTATCACAATATATTGCATCACAGCCTCTTTGTCATGATGTTTTTTTTGTATCATCAAATTCTTGCCAATACACAGCCCTAGCAGATACCGCTTTAAAACACTGTAAATGCTGAAACAGCCGATGTCAGCTCTTTAAGGCCTTTAACCACATTAACCTTTTGCAATTTTTTTTGTTTTACACACAAACATACACATACACACACAAACCGCAGTCCCTTCAAAGCTGGTGACATGGGTCAGTGCTTGTGGGGAAACAAAGCTCAAGTGAAGCGAGAGCAGAGGGCTCAGTCACGAACGTGGTATCACTTTGCACTCATGAGCCTGGACATCAAGAAACAAGCTGCACATGAGTAGTTTCAAACCAAGAATGAACAAAAATAATTAACACATTATAAGACCAATTATAAAAAATTAAACTGCTAATGTGTTACTAACATTTATGTCTATGTTACAAAATCTTAGCAATATACAACAATATCATTTCATTTATCATGGAGATCAAATGTTACATCTGAAGATAACTGTAAGTAAAACCAAATCCCAATAGGATGACGAGCAAGAGGTCAAGGTACGATCAAAGAACGAGACACTAAAATTGTGTCCGAGAGGACCACATGGCCTTTAAAGGGGAAGAAAACTGCCAACATCCATCTGTGTGCATTTCACTTCCCTTCATCTCTGCTCCCACTGTCCTTTCTACTCTTTAACTTCCACTGTGACAGGCTGCCCCCACCCCGGAAAAATAATGAAATAAATAAACTAGCATTCCTCCCCCCTCCCTGAGGCTGGATAGTCCATGCAGGAAGGTAAACATGTCTACTGTCGTGAGCTCAGACCACGTGCATGCTTTGCTTCAGGTAACGGTCGTCCTCCACAGCTCTGTGCCCACCAGCAACATCTCGACGTTCACTAGCTGTGCGCACAAGTTTATGTCTGAACAGATTTCTGCTTTGTTGCCAAACCACTCTTCCTCAAGCAAGGACATCCATGGATTTGATGGGAAGGTTGATTCAAATCAGGGTCAACGGTCTGACCTCCATCTACAACACCTGGTTGATGGCTGATATACGCTGTCAGAGAGGCTTCTTGGTTTTTGTAGACATGGTAAGAAGTTTTATTAAAGGGAGGATATTGTGCAACATCAATGTTTTTGAGCTTTATATCGTGTTAAAATGTCATTCCCTCATCAAAAKCATATCCAGAGTGTTGCTTTGACTAATTCATGTATGTTTGAGAAATCCTTGAATCTCCTGTGGTAGCCATGTGGAGCTGGCTCAACACTTGCTGGTACAAAGCTCCGCCTATTTACACAAAGCTCCTCCCTGGAGCTCAGTCTACTGCCGTGRWCTCACCCRACAGAGCACCCCTKCCCTGAAGCATTGTTGTGAACACATGCTGAAGTGGGAGTGTCAGAAACGYTAGGYGGTTCTTAAAGAGACACAGGCCAATTTCAAGGRGTTTGGACAGKCTTTGATGCAAAATTCATTTTGATATYTACAGTATTTTCATAACAACTGAAGGTAACATATTTACTTGATTGTGCCTGTGAAATACACAATACCCCCCCTTTAAAAGAACTCAACTTGARAGACATCCAGACAAAAACATGCAAACATTTTATGAGGTACTGGGGGAGAGATACGCTTTAAATCCAAATAGTTCATTTTCAACAACAAATCTATGATTCTGAATTATTATTTAATAGCTAAAATACCAAAGTGGTTGGAGAACAGCAACAACTGCTGCAATCATCTGATTGATWGAAATTTATTTAGCAATGATACATGGTCACCTGGCTTACATGTACAGCAATCTTGTATTGTAGCAAAAATAAATTGAGCTTGTCTTTTTAAATACTGGACATTTTAAATCACTAACTGAGTAGGTCAGGTTCAGAGGAACCTGTGTTATACACCTGGAGTTAACAGAAAGCATCTACTGGCTTCAGAACATAAATAACATCTGAAGTGAATTRAGAGAAAAGAATATGCACCTTTAGTTGCAAATAAAAGCTTTGTTGCTTTTTCTGACAAATAAAAAAAGGTGTATTTAATTGAACTGAACTAAATGACACTTTAATTTTGATCTGTTTAGAATGAATCTGTTATGGGGCGACTACAGATATGCTGAGCATATATTTRAAGACCTTTACTTTAAAAAGATGAGACATTAATTCTTGCTTAGTTTGAACTTCAACCTACCAGTRAGGTTTAATTTGCTTTACAAAGAACATATCAGTTATACAAATCATGTGTGTAAACTTTAATCCACTGAGTATGAGCAATGTTATTTTAACAGACTTGTAGCTCCAGTGTTCCTTTACATAGTGATTATATATGGTATATTCATTTGCTTAGTTTGCCGTGACTGAGAAAATGCATTAATTACACTTCAGCTGCTCTGCAACACTATGGATTTTGTTGCAGAGTAGAAATGTGCAATGCATGAAAACAACTGACTTGAGACTGCACACAAACTGACAGAAGCAATTGCATGACAACTGTCAAAATGAAAATCCGGGTCATCGGTTTTGGGACGCAGTCCAGTCCAGCCTATATGCAGCACAGTCCCATTCCTCTGAAACGCGTAGGTGGACAAGGTGTGGGCTGATGATGTTCATTACTTTCCTCTCTTCAAGTCTTCAAGCATTCCCTTAGTGATACTATGTATACCCTCGCTGCCAACTGCAGCACAATACTGAGGGTGTAAGTGTGTAGCAGGAAAGAAAGATGAGGGTGACAGGAATATTAATATGCGTCCAAGATTTGGTCTTTAAACAAAAGCTAAATATTTTAGAGAATTTTTTGCAATATTTTTAAATGTTTTTACAGCTACCACCACCCACTGGTTAAAGGTCAATCAGTATGTGTTTTGTTTCTGCAAGTGATAGCAAGCATGTTGATAAAAAAAAGAGCAAAAATAAAATAAAAAAAAATAAAAAAATAACATAAAATCTCACCAGTAGAGCTTCCCTCGGGGCTCAGTTTAAATCTTTTCTTGGCTAAAAACGCYCAGGGACAAAAATAACTTAGATAAAATTCCCAGTATGGATGGAAATGTGTCTGTGAAATGTGACTGACTTGACGAGTCCATTCACAGCTGGCAAAGGAGAGACAAGTCTCAGCGCTTCAGGTCTGACAGATAGTGGGGACAAATGCTGATGGTGGCTGCTGTTTCCCGTATGCTTACCATCAGCTCCCTTCACAGGCAGGGACCAGGCTGCAACAGGCCAGGGACTCGATGCCTCCAGCGCTCTCCAGCAAGAGTGGAGAAAATATATAAATCCAGAGACAGAGCGTGTACGTGTGTTTTCAGGCTACGTTGCCTCCAGACACCAACACGGTTCAGAGCAGATCGACAGTGACGGCTCGCTGATTAGTCAGCTCGCAGTCCCACAACACCGGGGTCTGTGCACCAACGTTCATCTGCACTGGAGTTCATTTCAATAAATCCCATTATTATTGCAGCAAATATTCAAAACACACATACATGTAAACAAACCAACACTTGTAATAACTGAGGAAAGCTGATGCTGTGACTAATACATCGGCTCAATCCCCGAGTCTGCTGCACCGTTTGCAAAATCTGGTGAGGGTGTGTACTTTTCTAATGATATGTGAGATGCTGCTGTGAGGTTGGTGGTTAACTACCTTAAGGAGATACACAGGGATGTTGCTGAAGTCCACAGGGAGTTTAAGAAGGAAGCGAGCTGAAAACTCTCCTGTCTGGAGAAACAAGGAATAGGCACAAGTTTTAGAATGGGAAACTTCTAACATGTTGCAAACTATGATACAAGCGAATTACAGACTGATCTATTAGGCTAAAGTCCTACTTTAATTTCAAATTTATACTTGTATAATATTGCTATTATATWTTACCCACTACAGTGCTTGTTATTATTTAAAACTCAGCTTGTGAAGGCTTAAGTGAAGCGTTTTAACCTGTAAATCTTCAAGGATACTTTTGTACAATTGTTGGGCTCTGATCTTTTTTTCTTTATTCTGACAGTGTGAAAAATTAAAGAAAATTTAAAAAGAAACAGAAAGAAATYTCTCTTCGAAGTAACAAAATTTCTGCTAACAAACAGGACAGGAGATGTTGAGAAGTACTGACAGTTTGACTTTCGTGCATAATTTAGTACTTTTAGGYAATGTTCATTTTTATTCTGAATTTATAACCTATTTGCAGTTTTTATAAACAAATACATATATGAAGTTTTAAGTTTTCAGACGACAGTTTTTATCTTTTCTTTTCTCCATATTTTCTCTTTCCTTGTTACATTTTGMTTATTTGCTGTATGAGGATGACTTCACTGTCATGTTTTTTTTGGAGACAAGCATACGATGTGAAACAAAAGCACACACATGAATATGATTACAACTTTGACAACATAGTGAAATCTATTGTGTTTCCCTAAACAATTGTAGACATGCTCTGCACATGACAGCCTCAACAAAACAAAACAATAAAACATTCAGGAAAGCATTTGCCGAGTGTATTCCTTTGTTAATTAAACAAACAAAAACATGGATCCTTGCACATCTTTAACAAAAATATTACCTAACTGTTWTACAGCCAGTTATAAATACTGTATATTCAATGACTTTTCCATAACTGTCAACATTTTTATTTCATTCTGATTTTTTTCTAATCATTTTGTAATGACTTTCATAGCTTTGTTATTAGTAGATCATGTTTTTCTGTCACTTTAAAGCCTAATTTATTTGAATTATATTCCCTGAAATTATAAGAAAATGCAGAAATACTTTAGTTTTGTTCCTGTACTGTTCATTGGCTATTGTCACTGGTCACATAATGTTTTCTCTATGCAGATACTTGGGCCAAGCTGTAAGAACATGCGACTGGCCCAGAGCCTTTTTCCAAATCAAAACACATGACTCTTACTTGTCAGACAGCAATGTTTTTAATAAAAAGAAACAGGAAGTTGGTTACATGATGCTTCCTTTGGATTTATTTATATGGCATTCATAAAAAAAACTGTTTCCATTTCATGTTGATAGAATCTGATTAAGGCAAAAATGCTTCATAGTGAGACGAGTTTTCAAATGAACCAAGTGCAAACCTAAAAAAGTTTTTAAATAAGCTTGTATGAAATCTTTGAACTCAAAGTCCATTAGCAGGTTCTTACCCAGCTGTTCTTTCGTCCTGCATAAATTTCTAAATTTCGTCCGTAGCTCGGATCTTCCAGCAAGCTGTCGTACTCAAACAGCAGCCTGGAGCTGTCACGCAGGCGCTGGCACTGGTAGAGATGGTACTGCTGGATGAGCTCCTTCACCAGCTGCAGCAAGCACTCAGGATTTCCAGCATCCCAGTGGACCAGGTGCTAGGGGAGGGGACCAACAAGGAAACAAAAAATTAGTCAGGAAAAATATTTTTATATAACTAAATAACACAAAAATTCTTCTTTAATGTGTAGATGGTCAAACTTTGGTTCTTAGGGAGCGAAGCCCGCTTCCAGGGACAAAGAACCTCCTAACTGTTGCAAGAAATGATCCACACCAGAATTTCAAGCATTCTTTCTTTACATATTTTTCTATCGTGCCACTCAGTAATGTAATGATTACAATAARGATAACCTTGAAAGAGAGAGATAAATTTTTCATTTTTATTTGATCATGCTGAGACGCAGATTGTATCAGCAAAATCTATAAATATTATTGATGACTACCTGTTTTGTTCATATCTTTAAATTTTTCTATGATAACTGAAGGCAAAGTTATCAAACGTAATTTGATTTTGTAGAAGAATGCTTACAAATGGCATCCAAATAGCATATCATAACAACAACAACAAGAAATGTTTATTTTTTTATTTTTTTCTAAGATATTGGTTTAAAAAGCAGAAAATAATAATGGTACCATTAGGAAAAAATGCCCTAATGGAAAACAATTTTATCTTTAAAAAAGTCAGTAAGAACTTAAATGTGAAACGGTTGTTGTCAATAAAAGAGAAGGAAACAGGTTGTACTGAAGGATGTCCTGTAAAACACAATGATTCAAATGAATATGGGAAAATTCTGCAGCTGACCTCTTCTGACGAGTTTAGGATTCTTGCTGCCACATGGATTGACAACTAAAAGTTTTTTTTTAAAGAAGGAAGTTTGTTAAATTAAGAATTTACCTACAATTTTTATATGGTGTTTAAAAATGTGAATGACTGTATCCTGTAACCTGTATTATAAACTGATTATTAGTGAGCATTTCCACATACAAATCAGGATAAAAACGGGACTTTTTTTAAATGTAAACATTTTCTTAGTGTTGTTGGGGAAAAAGAGTAAGAGTACTTGCACAAAGTGAATCGACAAAATTACATCCGATCTAATCGAGTGAAATTAATGACAAAGCACTAAGATTTAATACTGTAAGTGCAAATTAAGAAAAAAAAGCAAGAAATACAAGGATTTGTGTTTTGCTACAGTGTTTTTAGATAACTCACTTAAGAGGATCAAGTAAAAACATTATTTTAAAAGCAGTTTTTATAAGCTTCATTTTCACAAAAGTATGATTTCAAACATATGTTTTGGAAAGCATCGATTTGGAAAGGGGGAAACCTTTTCTGTCCTGAGACATTTTATGATGAGAGGATGGATGGATGAAGTCCCTATTTTTGGAGATGATGCTGGTTTGGTATTACACTTGCTGCAAAAGTGAAAGTGTTTTTCTGTTTACAGCTAATTGTGAAAGTTAAAAAAAACACTGGCATACTGAAACTGCAAACTGACAAACAACAAACTATGCAACCTGACAACATTGTTAGAGAGCAAAAGTGAACGTGTAACATTGCTGTCCTCGAGCAAGAAAGACGAAGGTCGACCTCAATCATTTCAAAAGTGAAAAACAGGCATTCAAATGTGCGTTAGACAACAAGGAGGATTAATTAGTGATGGACTGACTGTTAATACCTGTTACATTTAGATAACAAAAGCAGGATGTCCCTGACTAGTTCGCCTCCACGACAGTATGTCTTGTCTGTCTCCACAATATCAGCCTAAAGGAGAAAGCTTCTATTGTTTCAGAAGGGTTGGGTTTGGGGTGGGT